TTCTGATTACCACCTTTTTTTTTTTACATTATACAAATGCAGTGGATTGTTATAGTTTAAGCCAAGTAAATTTACGATGCTCTTTTACACTGTCGCAGAGTTCCTCAGGATCAGGAAACGGACAGAACTAACAAGTTCTACTTCAAGCCGCCTGACGGATAAGATCTCACCAGCGACAAAGGCTTAACGACAACCTCCTTCAACGTGAACGTAAAATCAACTGTCGTGATAGTTATGGTACGATAATTTTTACGTATACACAGTATTCGTTTCCAGTGATAGTATCATAATACAATATTCATTTCGGGATACACATTTTCGAGGAACCTAGCTTTTTGCTTGTTGAACTGCCACTTTAAAAATAAACAAAGGTCGTCTACAAACATTAAAAATAAAGTACTACAACTTCCAACTTATTAGAACAACCACTATTGTGTATTTTATTTCATGATTTTAGTATTTATTTTTACTTTATATTTCACTATATTTTTTCTTTTTTATGAATATACATACACAAATTTGTGATAACGCTAAGAACAAATCCATAAGAAAACCTAGGCAGCTGTTCAGTTTATCTTCCCACGACCCTACGTACCCATACCCAAGATTAAACTTGGCGCCAAAAAAAAAACTATTGTGGTGGACATCTGTTTGTTGAATTGGGGAAGGGGGCCCAGTCTAACTATGAACCGTCTGTTCACGTGCAGCAGCAAATCCAGTCGTCCACTGGGAAAATATCCCACCGACAGGTAGCTGCAGTGTTCAGATGGACAGGTGGGATTGGCTCAAATTAAGACTTGACAGAAAACGCTCCTTTATAGGAAATTTTCAGCGTCTGGCTCAAGAAGATCCGGACGAAATGTGGTGTCTGGTGTAAGAAAGTTCTGAGAACAGAGATTCTTGTAAACTTACAAACTGTATAATTCATGATTATGGAAAACATTAAATGATGTTATTTTCTAGTTTATCAACCTAACAAAGAGCACTCGTTTTCTTTCTCACTTTTCTTTTTTTGTAATTCAAGTAAAAAATATTTTTCGTTAGCAAGTAATAACTCAGAAGTGTTGAAATATAAATAGTAATACGTCCAGATGATCTTTATTTTTATCAGTTGTTTTGAATAGGCTTGGGCGATACTTTCTGACTGAAGTAACATTTATGTTGTGGGAAATGTTATCCTGAAGGGTGTGGTGTACACGCGTGCGTGTGTTGCCCTTTATTCTGCTTGTGCTGTCATTAGAAGTAAGAAAGGGATAAGGGGAAGAGAAAAAGGAAGTGAGGTTGTGGGGGGGGGGGATGAAGAGACCGTACAAAGTGCTGAGAGAAATAACAGCTGGCCAGGAAATCCCAAGACTTTTACACTCCCCTAAGACAGCAGGTAGACGAACTCAAGCAAGACTTGAACTCAGGTGGTACCCGAGGAAATACCACACTCCACTGAACGTTTTGTGCTGGACTTTGCCCCCCAACCTTAGAGCTAGCCAAGCTTGTGGTTGTTGAAAGTCACGTGACAAGATCCTTCAATGTGTGTCTGTTGGCTTGACACGCTTAAAAAAATAACCTAAAAGCTAGAAGTCACTCGAAAATTAACGGAAATCCTGTCGTGTTGAGGAAGTTAAATATTACAAAAATCTGCTTGAAATCACATTTATTCGTTCAGAGCAGATCACTCTTTGAAAAAAATAACAGTTTGGTAGTTATTTCGTTGACTAAATGTTATATAATTCTACATTGTGGTTACATTAGTAGGGGTTGATATCGTGGACCACAGATGTTTATTATCAGTCCAAGCATAAACTTGTTTTTATATATTATCACTCTTTGATGACACAAATATTCCAATTACTCAGCATTTCTTGATTATTTGGTTATAAAATACAGTAAAGATATATACATACACAGTATATATATATACATACACAGTATATATATATATATATATACACAGTATATATACATATATATACATACACAATATATATATATATTGTGTATGTATATATAT